ATGTGGGTATAGCCCATGCCTGGGAAAGACACTGGGGAAATAGGGGCTTAAAGTTTGCGTATTGAGTGGTAGGAGCTCACTAAGCCCTTTCTCTTCATTAACACTCAGATGTCCGAAAGCCAGATTTTTGCCCAGGAGAATGAAAGCTTCTTCTCAAGGGAAAGTAACTCAAGAGAAAAGACCTTTTGGATGTCCTGAAGTGGAAGCTCAGATTCACAGCATCCTGTAGGGGGCCCTTGGTGCCCAACTCCCACTCAATTCAGATCCCATCCAGTTCTGCAACTGTATCTTTCTTTGTTCCTAGAAAAGCAACTTGATTGCTTCTGAGACATCTGTGCAAGATCAGTGTTTGAATTTGATAACATGCTAATTTCAAGAACCTCAGTCCCTATTCTTGTACACGCTGCAGCCTCCTCCTTTGCAGGTTCTGCGTTACTCCGCCCCATTGCCTAATTGGACTTGTTTTTTATTCCAATGTAGATTAAAACTGGGATGCACTTCCTGGGGGTGGACTGACCTAATTTTCACTCTCTGTCGCTTGATGCTAGCTATTTCATTAGTTCTCTTTTATCTTTTTTTTCCTTCTTCTACCAGTCTTTGAAATTTCTGAGCACCATCCTAGTTTCTTAGGTATAAATAACAAGTGCTTTAAAGCTTTTTGTCCTCTCACCAGATTCCGTTATCTAACACTACATCGGCATCTAATGTAAACATATGGTTAGATTTCTACAACTAAATGTACCCAGAAACGAATGAACAACTGATCACATCTATAAGAATATAACTTTGTTTACAGGTATGATCTTTTATGACCATTTACATTTTTATTTAGTTGGTATGTGTGCCCACAAAGAATGTTTTCTTTGTTTTTTTTTGGTACCGGGGATCAAACTCTGGCCCTTGCACTTGCGAGGCAGGCCGCAGAACCACTGAGCCAAATCCCCGGCCTTGTGTCGTTTTCCCTTAGGAATAAAATCACATTGTTTGTGAAGGCTTCGTAGAGATTAAATGAGCACAAGCAGTAGTTAACTTATTAAATAGGCATTTTTAACATATAAAACCGTCTAATGCTGAAGGCTAATGTTCTGAAACATTTCAAGGTGACCCTTAAATCTAGAGCTGTAATAAATGAGGAAATGTGGGAAAGCCCTGATCCCTGGGGACATTTGACAGAGGAAACAGTGACACATAGTGGAGTAGAGGAAGGCTTTGGTCTGAAGCTAGGAGAGGCTGGCAGGTTTCCGGTCTCCAGTTATTGGCTGTGCGATCCTGGAGAAGCCAGTGGATCTTCCCGTGGGCCAGAGGGAGAGGGTGTTAATCATCTTACAGTTATGATGCATTGAGTTAATATGAGGCATGCATTTTTGGCTGTGAATCGTCACACACAACATCATTGTTGTACATCTATGCCTGTTTACTCATCCCATTGGTTCCAGTGCTTTGGGCATAGTAGTTCTTACTCAATAAACATTGGTTGCCTGATGAATGAATGAATGAATGTGTATTTAAACAGGATGTGTGTAGCCATGGAAGTCAGGTATAGATGTTTATAAAGTGGAGGATGCAGAAATTGTCCCTGGACCAGCAGATTTCTGGATTTGGAGTTAAAAGGTGATCAGGTGTTTACATCTTTTCTGATTTGGGGAAGTAAATGACAAGGCTGATTATGAAAATCATCATCCTCTTGCTCAAATATTAGAGGATCTTAGGTATAAAAATCTTCTTTTTACATAAGAGGAAACTAAAGCTAGAAGCCCATAGAAATCAGTTATTTTATAAAATTCTTCCTTTTCACGGATTTAGGGTAATTGTAGGTAATGCACAAAAAGTATACTTTCAAGTACATTTTTGGAGAGCTGTGCTGAGCACTGGGAAAATAAGCATCAACTAAGGGAAACCACCTTGCTTGAGGAACTCATAATTTAGCCACAAAAACAGCAAATGTGCTAGGTTTTCCTGATGTGAGAAGGAAAAACTGGGACCGAAAGGGATTAGCCTGGTCTCCCTACAGGCACACCTGGAGGTGTGTGGGGAAAGAGTGATTAAAGGAAGTGATACTGGGAGAAACTGGAAGGGGCATGTAGGAAACAAGAGAGAATCAGGGGGCAGCCTGGGCAGGTGAGATTTCTACTCATGTCCTGTGGAGGACAGGTTAGCCAGGTCCGACAGGCCTCTCTGAGGAGGGAGTTATCTCTGAGAGCTTGCCCCTAGGTCCCGAGCAAAGGGACTGGGCTCTCACAGTCTCCCGTTAGCTGGCCACAGACTGAGGTTTGTGATGGGTAGGGGCGTGGAGATGTGATGACCCCCCAGACTCTTCTAGGCTTCAGAATGAGGGTCAAAGTGGCTTCAGCCAGAGAGAGGGCTTCCGAAGGAAGTTGAAGGTGTGGACCATGAGAAGTGCAAGTGCACATAAGACAAAGACCAGGTTTGCAGATGTAAGCATAGAGATCTGAGGGATCTGGAAGGAGGGTTGGCAATGTCCATTGTGCCTGAGATCCAGGAGAGAGATGGAGGCAGGCGGCAACGGCCGCGGAGTTGAAGGTGGAGCGTGGAGGAAGGACCCGGAGCGGGTGCGACTGCACCGCCTTACGCCTGGTAGGTGCGGAAGAAGCCGAGAGATGAGCGCGGAAGGCTGGGCTGGGTAGACTGTGCGCCTTTTTTGGGTAACAGTTGTATGGGTTGAGAAAAAGAGACCCAGTGGAGGGATCCTAAATAATGAGATAGTTGGTTGTAAGGGTAGATGTGCCCAGGACCCAGGAAAGGACTGGCCCAAGGAAGAGCTGGAAACACGGAAATCACTGGCCTCAAGAAACTAGAGCTTCAAGGGAAGAAGCACTCACAGAGCTCTGTGACTCTCGTGACTTCATGCCATGTTCTCGTCCCACCCAGAGTGGCTCATTCTTTCTCCCACTCCATACCTTTTACCTATCTTGGTTTCTACCCACTCGTGTTTCCACCCCTTATAATTCTAATTGGGCTTTGCCCTCCTGGGCTTTTCTGTATCCAAAGATTTTCTTTATCTTAGCTTTTAATTTCTGCTCCCAACCCTCTCTCCCAACAGGTCGGATTTCAGATTCCAGGATGGGCTGGTCAGACCGTGTTTCCTGATGGGCCATAGCGTAGGTTGCTGCCAAATCTGTGAATCAAATTATGATTCGAAATTCAGTCTGTTCCAACTGGTTGTGCAAAAGGGAAGAAACAGTCATAGTTATGTAACATAGTAACAGTGGCTCAGACATATTTGGGACCATTCTGAGCATTTCACACGTACATAATCACTGCATTCATTTTATACAGATACATTTAATTTGCATCCATGTTTATTTAGTTATATCACAAGGTTGTTCTAAAGCTACCTCCAGTTTACAGATGGGGAAACTAAGAAGTAGAGGTTCACATAAACAGTATGTGGTGAACTTTCTCCTACAATAAGGTGTGACTTGGTCAGCTCAGCAGGAGCTGCGGACAGGAAAGGACAAGGATTGGCGATGGGCTTTGCCCCTTTCCTCATCGCTGGGACGAAATACCTGACCCCCTCAGGTATTAGGGAAGGAGAGGCTTATCTTGGCTCACTGTTCAGTCCATAGTCAGCAGGCTCCAAGGAAAGATGGCACGGTGGACGGACATGATGGAGAGGCCTGCTCTCGGCCTGGCACACAGGAAGCAGAGAGAAGGGAAGTTATAGGGAGGGGACCTGCCTTGTCCAACCAGACCCCACCTCCTAACAGCGAGGCAGCCGTCCACCCCATCATTCAGTAATCTTCCAACATCTCCACCTACAGGAGCGTGAGGGTTTGGGGAGCATTTTAGATCTAAACCATGACAGTGAGTCTAGTGAGAGACTGCTTCCAGGGATGAGGATTTGGAATATAGCTGATGGTGGTCCTTCTGCCACACGGCTGTAAAGGTGGAATGAAATCTGGGGCCGCATCTCATGCCAGGCTTGGGGTAAAGAGCTGATTCAATCTGCCAGTGCTAAGATAAATCTCAAGAATATTATATTTTAAAAAGGAGTATCATATTTATTTTCTTTCCTGGATAATTTTCTGTATGAGCCTCAGTTTTGATGCATTAAATTGTTTGGAGAGAGAAGCAAGAATGTCCAGCAGCTAAGTAGAAAGCTCTGAAGGTCCACAGACAGTGGTACAGGTCTCCATGGGCAGAGGCTGCTTTCAGAGAAGGCTCTCTACCTCTGTGGTCAGGTCTGCTCGGGCCCTGAGGAGTGTGGGCGGATGAGAAGGAATGAGCTGGACGTGCGAATCTGAAAGTCTTGTGACTGCTCACTGGGGAAACAAGGCTCAGGGGCCTCTGATGGCCTGGTCAACACAATTTGTCTTTGCCACCCCAAAACAGAGAGACCCAAGACTGTATACAGGCTTTTACATCTTTTCTGATTTGGGGTAGTAAATGATAAGGTTGGTTGTGAAAAATCATCATCATTTTGATCAAATATAAGAGGATCTGAGGTATAAAAACCCACTACGTGGGCATTTTTTTATGAGGATAGAATTAAGTCATTTTTCTTGGCAGGCAGGGGCAAGGGGAAAAAATGAGAACCAAGACCTGTCATGTAGAGGAACAAGATCCCAAAAATGAATGTAACTGTACTGTATACCTAACATGTACTAATAAACTCAATGAGGGGAAAAAAATGATTAAGACAGAGCCAAAACAAATAAACTCCCAGATGATGTCCTGGAAAAAAAAGGATATGGTGAGAAGAAACTGCTGCCTAATTTTCCCCATGCACAAAGGTTTAAGCTAGTGGGCGCAGCCTTAAACAGCCCAGAGAAAGGCCAACGGGGAGGAGGAAGGAAGGGAAATGTGGATCCAACACCTGCCTTTACTCACATTTCCCTGAGGTGACCGGGAACAGATTGCTTTCTTGCTATTGGCCCAAAGAGATCCCATGAGCACCCTGCATCTGGGAGATGCATCTGAGATGTGATCAATCTGCTTACCCACCATTCTGCTTTTTTGTCATTGTTGCCCCATCACAGGGAACAGGATCGGATACCCTCACTGAAGAGAAGAAGCTTGGAGAAACCCATCCTGTCCTGTTTTGAAGTTCTTCTGAGATTCTGTGGCAGTGGGTTGCTGTTAAAGAATCCCAGGCTAAAGCACCTGACTTCTTTGAATCTCATTGTAGCCTCTAAACACTTCTCTGTGCCTTCCTGTCTGTAAAGTAATACTTCCAGACCAAGTCTCTAGTCTCCTCCAGGCTCTGTGGAACAGAGACTTCTGGAAAAATTAGAGCTGAGTCAAGGAGGAATGAAAGTACTAAGTCCAGCACCAGTGACATTTTGAGTCATACTTTGAATAATGTGTTAGCTTTCATCCCTGAGACAAATAGTTGAGAAAATCAACTTAATGTGTCACAGTCTGAGACATTCCAGCACACGGTTCATTGGTCCCATTGCTTTGGGCCTGGGGCAGCACAACCCATCATGGTGAGCGTACAATGGTGAAGAAGCTGCTCACCTCATGGCTGCCAGGAAGCAGAGAGACAGGAAAGGATGGGGTCTCAATAGCCTGTAAGGCCATACCCACAGTGATGTCACTTCCTTTTGTGAGGCTCCACCCCTTAAAGGTTCTGTTACCTCCCAGTAGCACCACAGGTTGGGAGTTAGGCCTCTGAATACATGGATTTTGGGGACGTTCGAGATGGTTTTGAATCATATTTCTCTTTCTCTCTCTGTGTAGAAATGTAGCTATATCCATCTTTGTAACTTTCTACAGAAGCTACCCCTGAACCTGTCTCACTATTTCCCCTTTCAGGACACACTGACCTCTGGATGCTCCTCCTGTTCTTGTACACTCTGGCATGGACCTACACACAGAGGCTCAGAGACCATCCAAGCCTGGTAGAGCACAGGATGCCATTTCTCAGCCAGGAAGAAGTTTTCTCTTTTACTAACTTAGAAAACTCACAAAGGCCCATTCAAGGTTCTTATAGCCACTCTTCTAGAGCTTCTGGCTTCCTCTGGAGATGCAATTGGAATCACAGTAGGCTCCTACTCTGCTCATCTCCTGCTTCTGGTCTCTGCTTAGCCAAAGAGCGCACGGTCCCTACTTCCAGGAGCAGAGAGAAGACAATTCAGGTGGATCAACACAAGCTTTTATGTGACCTCTATTTTCCTGGGCCCAGTCCTAAAGAGAGAATTTTACCATTCCTACCCTATATTTTGACCCTTGTCTATTTTCCTTCTGATTTTTGTGATCTTATTTTGTTTTGAGTGTTTGAGGTGGTATCTCACATTGTTGACCAGGCTGACATTGAACTCACAGGCTCAAGTGACTGTCTTGCCTCAGCCCCTGAGCAGTTGGTACTACAGGCAGGTGCCTAGCTCTGCGTTTGTTCTGTGACCAGTGAACAGGAGGATTTGTGTGCTTTCTTCAGGCAGATGGGGGAGGAGAAAGTACATAGAATTACCTGTTTCACCATAAACTAAGGAGTAGGAAAACGGCAGAGAAAGGAAGAGACAGGAGCAAAGGAAGAGAATGAGAACCGAGTCCTTAAGTTCCACAAGACAACAACAAAGAAGCCTCTCCAGGTCTAGAAGGCTGTGGGTACCTGGGAAGCACTGAGGAGCTTCCTTTGGATTTTTATAGCAATATCAACATCTTGTCCTCTTGTGAACTTTTCATGAGAAAAACTCTCTAGTTTATTTTCTTTGTATAAACACACAAAGATAGAATATAGCCTTTTGCTCTGGTTCTCCTCTCTGGAGGGCTGCAGAATTTGGAATGAACCTGGGAAATGCAAATATTAATTTAATACCCTTCCTGCCTACCATGCAAGATCACACTGGTGATCACTGGTATTTCCTGCTCTCTTGTTTTTCCTGAAGACGATGAACATGGATATTATGTTTTCCAGCTGCCTATTGTAGACCGGTTTCCTTCTTCTGACACAGTGAAACGGAAGCCCCAGGCTGACATAAAGGGACCCCAGAATCAATATAACCTGGACCACTGAGTCACTGCAGGGAGGAAACATCCTCCAAGAGATTCTCACACCCACAGCAGACTTTGGGTGACACTCTCATGAATCCATTCATGTCACTGTTGCAGGAGTGAGCTCTTGATGCAAAGGATGGGTCCAGCTGCCCTCCCTATGCCTGCCTGCCCCTCTTCTAAGTTAGGGTGCCACACAAAGGTCTCTCTAGACATCACTGCCATGCTCTTGGACTCTCAAATAAACATCTTTTGTTCATGATTTACCTGGTGGCATTCTATAGCAGCAGAAAGAAGACAAAGACAGTCTCCTTGCCTGGAACACAGAGTGGCCAAAAATGTTTCTTAAAAAAAAAAATTCAGCTTTAGGAACAGTTTCATTTAGTAAAAGCAAACCACAGGTTACCTTCTTAGCAGCAGTCACAGTTAGGGGCCAGCAAGAGCCACACCTACAGCCACAGGGTGGACAGCTGGGGAAGATGTGCTGTGGGTATGTTCAAATGGATCAGTACAAATCTCATCCATGATGAGGCTGTGAGAATTGCAGATCCAAAGTCTCTGGGATCCACAGAAGGGAGAGATTTCATCCTTTGAATATCGACTTGCTCCTGCCCAGCCACTGTAACATCTCCTAAGGACGACAGCCAGGTATTTCTCACAAGGGCTAATGAATCACTCCATTTAGCTGTGACAACAGTAAGGCAAAGAAATATCTTCAAGGGCCCAGATGTTATTTTTGCAGCCCTGTCCCGGGGATAGAATGTGCTCAGAAGTTATGACAAATTAGCTGCTTGTGGCAAATCTACATGAGCCCTTTTGTAAAAATGGAAGTCTGAGCCTGAGTTAATGGGTTATTATTGGCAAGGGAAACAAAGTTGGGCAGGGAGAGTAGAGCCCGGTGAGGAGGAACTTTGAAGATCAGCAGAAGAGTTCAGATTTGGGTCCGGAAGCTGGGGAGCAGCAACTGTTCACAGGGCCTGGGTTGAACATCCTTTCATCACAGGCCATGGCACACTTGAGCAGGCTGCAGTCATTGTACCTGCAAAGGCTGAGGCCACAGTTGCTGAATGATGTATAGAACAGTGGGAGGGTAGGAAGGAAGGAAGGAAGACAGCAGTAATTAAAGAGCAAAATGAAGCCTGGGTGTGAGGTAAACACAATGCTATCATATGTTTTAGTGGAGATCATTTTCGTCCCATCAATATGTTTCCCAGAAGAGTGTATCCATTCATTCCATGCCACCGTATTTAAGCTCCAGGGTAACCAAGTGATGCTGGCAATGGCTGGGCTGAATTCTCTGTGCCTTAAGGTCAGAGAGCTTAGGAAGCAGAGCCCTGTCATGGTGGAAGCATAGGACCCTGTGTCTAGATGGTTCTGCTCCCAAGAGCCTCCCTCCAAAGACCTTAAGTCCCAAGTCCCCTGTGCTTATGTGCGGAGACCCGAGGAGACCAGGTGGCCTCACCACGGAGGAGTCTTCCAGACCCAGGAGGGTATTGGCCTGCTGTAGTTCTTGGGTGTCACTCTTCTCCCCATTAATGAGACTCAGCGGGTTTTTTTTTTCAGTACTATGGATTGAACCCAGGGCCTTCACACAGTGTCCTTTTTAAATTGTTGCTTTTGACACAGGGTCTCTCTAAATTGCCCAGGCTGAACTCAAACTTGTGATCCACCCACCTCAGCCTCAGAGTGCTGGGATCACAGGTGTGTGCCACCCCCGCCCACCGAGGGACTTGGCTGTCTTCTCATGCTTTAGGGTCTCCCTGAGTTTCATCCTTTGTCTTGTTCTGCACTCTCAGGCTTCTGCCTCTCAGAACCTGTTTTCTTCATAGCCCACGATGGCCTCTCAAGTCTTGTCCCAGAAGTGTGACTTTTCCTGTCTGCTGATATATTTTTTCCCCTCCCAATTTCAGTTCCCCAAAGAGAAAATATGACAGAGCCTACGTGTTTTATTCTGGGATCACAGCTGTGGGTCCCATGTGGGTCCTGAGTGTGATGTGCCTCAGAACCACAGCGGCGGCCTCTGTGGGCTGGGGCAGCACTCAGTCACCTGTGGTTAGCGTAGGGCTTCTTCTCCCCGGTGGACGAAATGCGAATGATATAGCATGCTAGGCTCTCTCACTCAGCTCTCCCCATCTCTCCCTAGCCTCTCTTCTGGTTGGGACACCAGGGTCCAAGCCCCAGGTGGGAGGAGTGCACTTCCTGTGGCTCAGGAGTCTTAGCAGATGCCTGTGTGGGACCCACAGCAGACCCTCTGGTCTCTCCACAGCTGAATGTGTGAGGGGTGGACAAAGTGGGCCCCCTTCTTTGTTAAGGAAAGGGGCGCATAGCAGGCAGCATCTTAGCAGAGAGCCCCAAACCCAGTGTTGGCTGCTTTAATTCAGAAAAGATGTGAACCGTCGACAGCAGGAAGCCCCGGGAGCCTCTGACATGCTTCATAAGCCCTTGTGTGCAGGTGCAATCCGATGGGTCACTGAAGATCTTGCTCTCACAGCCATGGAGGCCAGAGCTCACCTCCCTCCATGGAAAGATAGTTCTGGACTCTGCTGGTCAAATGTGGTCATATCCACTTCCGGGGATCAGACATAGCGATCACACAGTGGGCTCTCCAAGGCACAGGCCTTTTCCAACTTAGGCTTTGGGCTGGTCTTGTCAGGTGGTAGTTGTAAGTCACACCCCTGGACCCACTGCAAGGAAGTCCAGCAACACAGCTCCCCGGTCCTTCCAGGGGTGGGCTCTGCTCTGTGGGATGGTGGGTTCCTCCAACTTGGAAGTGGCATTCTGATAGTGGGCAGGACAGAAGGATTCTCCCCTGCCTTGTCCATTTGCGCAACAGGGGAGCAGTGTGAAGAAGAGTTTGGTAAGAGCTCAGGGGAGAGACTTTTAAAGAAGGCCTTAAACCAGGCAGACTGCCCTAGGCAGGGGAAGGAGTGACTTGCTGAGCTCAACCACTTACAGAAGAGAATGGGTCACCTTATCATCATACCCACTTGGGAATGAGAGCTGTAGGCCAAGTGTAAACCGTTATTCTAAGACATTTCAGAGCTTTTCTATATTAAGCTGAGACAGACCGATAAGCACTGGGACAGAAGTGTAGTGAGGGAGACACACAGAAGTCACAAGAGGAGGGTGTGGGCCCAGCACCTGAACTCCCTTCTGCTACTAGGTTACTTGCTGGTCAGCAGTCATGAAAACTTGGGTCGTTTCATCTCGAAGCCTCAAATTTGTCACCTGCAAAATTTGGGTAACAGCACCACTGACTGTATAACGTGATTGCAAGAGTTGGAGACACGCATAAGGTCTTTGGAGAGTGGCTGGTTCCCGCCACGTTGCCACTATGTGCTAGTATTGGTCATGCCATTATTGATAATGATTTCTAAAGAGAGCTGGTGAGTGCTGGACTCTTTGATACCATTGCAGTGAGGGGAGGAGAGTGACGCTGAGAGCGGTGGGGTAGAAGAGTGGTCAGGGCTCGGTGACGGGTGGGGTAATGGGCCGGGACAGCGTGGAGAGTCAGGAATGTGATCATTTATTGATGTGTCATCCGCCTCACTTGGTTCTTGGCAGTGGATTATTTTGATTTGAGCTGGCATTCAAAACCAATACAATAAAAAAGAAAACAACTGAGAATTGTGTCTGATACCAAGAAGTTTCTGAAACACCAAAGAATGGCTGGGAGCATCCACAGAAGCATCTGGGAAAGTGCAGTTTCTCCTCCTCCTTATTCTTCACAAAAGGAAGGAAACTGGAAACATGGGGACAGTTTTACACCTGACTTTATCTGTCGGATAGCCTCAGCCTTAAATCTATTTTAGAAGGAGATAGGATATAAGTGGCAAATAAATAAATAATCAAGTCAACTCATCTAGCCTGGGAATCAATTTCTTCACCAGCAAAAGGTGTCAGGGGAATGATAGGAAAGACTTTGTCCTACCACCAAAATGTCACCTCCCTGCCCCTGAACTTATGGGCCTTACTGTGCTATTCTCAAAAGTCTCCTAGAATTCTATGCATCCGTGCCTGCTATTAGCAAGACAAGGCTGTGGTTGCTGAGCTCACACACGAACAGCGTGTAGTCTCATCCAGCAGATGGGATAATTGGGGAATAAAAAATAAATTTATAGATAATCTGAAGAAGACTCAAATTACTGAATGTATTTCTACTCTATGTATCTGAGAACCAGCAGTATCAGCATGCCCAGTGTATTGTTTAGGGCTCACCAGAGGGGCAGAATCAATATAAAATATATGTAAGATTATATAGGAGACTTATGAGGCAGGCTTACACCATGGTCACCTGCTGAATCCGTGGTGAAGGAATCCAAAATGGCTGCCTGTGTGCTGAGAGCCAGGAGGTCCTGAAGCAGATGAAGGCTGAAGACCCAGAAGGTTACTGCGGAGTCACTGGTGTGAGTTTGTGCCACAGAGCCAGAGTCTGCTCTGGAAGGCTGGACAGTCTGTGATAGGAGGTCGAAGCACTGGAGTTAAGTGTCCAAAGGCAATGGTGAAGACAAGAGTGCCCCCAAAGACAAGGGCAGACGTCCTTCTTTCCCTTTTTATTCCATCTAGGCTGCAAGCTGATTGGCTGGTGCCACACACATCCTGGGGGGTCTTCCCTGACATGGCCTGCACCCAGTCACCCACAGACACACTCACAGCTTTACTACTCTGTGGTTTGCTTTGTTTTTCAGTACCAGGGGTTGAACTCAGGACCTTATGCTTGCAAGGCAGGAGTGGTGTCACTGAGCTAAATCCCCCGCAGGGCTTTACTATTCTGCCCGGTGGTTTTCCCTCAAATCAAGTCGACATCGCACAATTAACAATCACACCCAAGACTGTTGGGAGGAATGCAGAGTCCCAGGCCCCACTACACCGGACCTATTAAACCAGAATCCGTGTCCTGCCAAGATGCCCAACTAATTTGGAGGATCATCAAAGTTTGAGAAGCGCTGACTGAAGGCATTTGAGAGAAAGAGGGGGGGAGAGGGAGAACGCTGTATGGAGGGAAGAAGATGAAGCACTGACGAAGAGGAAGAGCAACAGTTTTCCCGGAGCTCACTTGGGAATGGTGGTCGGGACAGTTTCTCCAGACAAATCCTTGGCAAAGCAAGAATGGCCACGGGGTTCTGGAAACCTAGAGGCAGCATCCTGCGCCCAGGTCCAGGTGTGGAGGAAAGCATCGCAGAGCTCGCGGGACAGGCTGTCACTCTTCCGTTAGACTGGGGACAGATAGATGTCAGGGCGGGGGCTGTGTCCCCGAGAAAGGCGGCTGCCTGCTCCCTCTCGAAGTCATGCAGAGCCAGGCTGCATTCTGCCACTCAGGCCTCGTGGGCTGGAATTTCAGGTCTTCACATAGAGTAGCTTTCCAGGCACGAACGGCCTCCTACGGGGTTCGGTCTCTTACGTTCTCTGTCAGCGGCTCTCAAAGCAGCAGGCCGGTCACTGGCCGAGGAATGTGGCGCCTGGCAGAAGGTTCTCATAGCAGCTAGAGCATGGGGATCTGTGTCCTCGGTTATTGTAAAACACTTCAGTGGAAGTGAAACAAATCTCCTTTGGCCTACCTGGCCAGGTGGCCATAATGGGTATTTTCTTCTTTTCTTTTTTTCTCATTGAGTTTATTGGTACATTTCAGGTATACAGTACAGTTACATTCATCATTGGGATCTTGTACCTTTACATGACAGGTCTTGGTTTTCATTTCTTCCCCTTATCCCTGCCCTCCCTTCACCCCCTCCTCCCTTCCCTATTTACAAATGCTTTATTTCCATTTTTTCATTTTCTCATTTTTTTCTTTTCCCTTATTAGCTTTCCCCTACCCTTCCCACTTTCCTACACCTTTAGCCCTTTTCTTCCTATTTCACATTGTCAATTATCTCATTAGGATCTTATGTACCATTATAGTTTTTCACACCAGAGAAACTATTCCGTATTTACACTTGTGTGACTTTTTATTTCACTTAGGAGTATATCCTCAAAATGTACCCATTTACCTATGAATGAATCTACTTTCTCATTCTTTATGGCTGAGTAGTATTCCATTTTATAGAAAAACCACATCTTCTTTATCCAGTCTCTAACTGATGGGCAAATGGGCTGTTTCCAAATTTTAACTATTACAAACTGTACCACTATAAACATGGGTGCACATATATCACTGTGGTTCTTTTAATTCTTTTGGAAAGATACCCAGCAGAGGGATGGCTGGGTCAAATGGAACCTCTAGTCCTAGCTCTTTGAGGTATCTCCATATTGATTTCCACAGTGGTTGCACCAGTCTGCACTCTCACCAAAAGTGGAGAAGGGTTCCTTTTTCCCCACAGCCCCGCCAACATTTGTTATTGGTTGATTTCTTGATAGCAGCCATTCTTTGTGGGGTGGATAATGGGTATTTTCTTCTTCAAGGGACATTTCAGTTCGATGTCATTGTCAATTAGGAAAAAGAAGTCAAGATCCTTGTATGTTAAAGAGCATGTTTGTGAGGGATGTTCTCTTTTCCCGCCATAACTGTACGGCTTTGTGCTGTGGACCACTCAGGGGGGAGCACTGTGACTCAGGCCACTCAGCTTGTTGCTCCCAAATGTCAGGCTGATGTAGGCTTTGCGTTCCCA